AACATGTTTGGAGATATTACTCTAGAAAAGAGCAGAGGAAAAAAATTCAGAATGCTTTAGAAGGAGTCTAAGAGACATCATCAGGGAATTCCCTGGCGGTACAATGGTTAGGGCTCTGGGCTTCTGCTGTAGAAGGCCTGGGTTCCATCCCTGGCGGGGGAACTAAGATCCCGCATAACACACAGTGCGCCCAAACAAATAAATAAAAAACAAAAGAGAAATATCTTTGTAAAGATTACGTGTGAATTCTTATGCCTCACACTGTGTGGGTGTCACTGCTGAGAGGGACGAACACGGAAATGTTGCATCATGGAAATTGAATGCTGTCTATGGAGCTTTGAACAGTCCCAGTGCTCAGGCCACAAAGTGTATGTTGGTTGTTCAGTCGTGTCCAGCTCTTTGTGACCTCTTGAACTGGAGCCTGAGGGCTCCTCTATCCATAGGATTCTCCAGCAAGAATACTGGGAGTGGGTTGCATACTCTTCTTCAGGAGATCATCCTGACCTAGGGATTGAACCCGGGTCTCCTGCATTGCAGGCAGATTCTTTACCATCTGAGCCACCACGGAAGTCCCATTAGCTGTTTAATCCTGCAAAAATGACTTACTCTCTTTAAGCCTCAGTTACTCCAAGTGTGATAAACCGCGTAAGGCTGTCATGCAGAGTACGGCCCAGGTAGCCACTTCATGAAACTTACACATTGTTCTCTGTTCTTTTCAGAGAAGATAGTGGGCCTGGCCTAAATGCACTCACAAGACTCTGGAACTTTCAGCATGAAGTTGCAGGTCTTCTTTCACCAGAGGAAGTGAGGAACTTGCCAAAAATCCTTAACATTTTTCTGGCAATGCACTCGGGTTTATTGGTCCTTTGTTTTCAAAATAGAATTTTATGTCAGCTGAACTGATAGAATTCACCTCCTGTAATTGGGGTTTCTATTTGTTAATAATTTTTATTCTCTAAGAGGTCTTCCCAGGTGGCGCTAGTGGTAAAGAATCCACCTGCCATTGCAGATATAAGAGATGTGTGTTTGGTCCCTGGGTCAGGAAGATTCCCCTGGAGAAGGGAATGGCAACTCACCCCAGAATTCTTGCCTGGAAAATCCCATGGACAGAGGAGACTGGCAGGCTATATCTGTGGTTATAAACAGTCAGATATGACTGGAGCAACTTAGCACTTAGCACTCTGTAAGAACCAACCGTTTCTGAATTTTCTCAATGTCTGGAATAACCAAGCACAGCTAGAAATAGTCCAATAAATTGCCCTGGCATTATTTAGATATTATTCTTCCTTCAACCTTAAGATACGAGGTTGCTTTCTGGTAAAAGAGGTAGCAATGATGAGAGCAATTTGTTCACAAACAACCAAAATGATAGAGAAGTCGTTATTCACTTACTGTTTCAGGAACAATGCAATATTCAAGAATTTGGGTATTATCAAGTACAACTGCTCCTCTAAAATAGCATTTAAAATAGTTTGGGCAGCATACTCCTGGTTCAGCAAGGGCAACAGAAGTGGATACCTGGAATAAAAAAATCACAAAAAGTTATATTGTTAAAGTGGTATTTTTTGGCTGTCATGGTGAGCACTAGTCATTAAATTTTAGATATTAAGACATCAACATATGTCTATAAATATGCAAATCATGTGTACATATTAGAAAAAGCCTTGTGTTTTCTCTCGTGATCATATTGGGACCAGTGCTAACACATTTCCAGCTTCCCCGGTGGCTCAGTGGCAAAGAGTCCGCCAGCAATGCAGGAGCCCCAGGAGATGTGTGTTCAATTCCTGGGTGTCAAAGATCCCCTGGATAAGGAAATGGCCACTCATTACAGTATTCTTGCCTGGGAGATGTAATGGATGGAGCAGCCCAGTGGCCTACAGTCTGTGGGGTCACAAGAGTCAGATATGACTTAGCGAGCAAACAAAAGCTAACGTATTTCATTTCCTGGAATGAATTCCTGGCATTTATTGATTTTCTCCTCTGTGATGGTCTAGATCTATGGAAGGAAGTGCTTTGAGATTTTTTTCTTTTCTCTCTTTCAGCCCAAACATCACATAGTTGTATACTATTAAGAAGTGGAACTGCAAAATTATTTCACCGAAAGGAAAGAGCTCCTGAGCATGTATAATGTGGCTTTATTTTAAGCACACTATTGTTACTACAGTAAGCAAATTCAGATATTTGCAAAATCAATTGGAGTTGAAATGGGATGAACATGTATTGAAGCTCCCATTAGACATTACTTTGACATTTTATACTTTTATATTATGCTTCTGTGTTTCTTGAACCACACCTCCTCAAAAATTCTATTTTTGTGTGTGTGTTCAATCACTTAGTTGTGTCTAACTCTTTGCAACTCCATTGGCTGTAGCCTGGCAGGCTCCTCTGTCCATGAGATTTTCCAGGCAAGAATACTGGAGTGGGTAGTCATTTATATGTAAATTAATGTTTTTCATTAAATTTGGGAGGTTTTCAGCCATCCATTTCTTTAAATGCTTTTTCTGGTCTTTTCTCTTATTTCTTTGTTACTCTCCTTGTGTATATGTTGATGTGATTAAAGGTATCCCAGCTTTCTCTGAGGATCTGTTCCTTTTTTTCCATTTATGTTCTCTCTTCCTTCTGGTTGCATATTCTCTGTTCATTTGTCTTGAGGTTCACTTTTTTTCTTATTCTGCCAGTCGAAATATACTGTTGAGCTGCTCTAGTGCATCTTCCCTTTCATTTATTCTTCTTTTTCCAATCCCAAATTTACATTTGCTTCTTAAAAGATCTGTATTTATTTATTAATATTTGATGAAACATCTCCATTCTAAAAATATGGATTTCTTTAGCTCTTTGAATGGATTTAAAATAGCTGCTTTGAAGTTTGTCTGCTAAGTCCAACATATGGGTCCTTTTCAAAGCAATTTCCATTGCCTATGGGTTTTTCTCATGTATGGGTCACACTTTTCTGTGTATTTGTATATCATACTTTTTATTAAAAACTGAACATTTTAGATGATATATGGTAGCAACTCTGGATAACTGTCCTCTGTGACTGTTTGCTTGTTTATTTCCTCAGTCACTTGGCTGAAACTAGTTCCATGAGGTCTATCTCTCCTCCAAGGTGTAGCTTCTGATGTCATTCCTTGAAGGACTCCATCCAGGGAAACTGTGGTTTTAACTGGGCAATCTTTGACTGCCTCTTTCTCTTAAGCCTCTAGCTAGTCTGTCTCTATCTGTATCGTATCTACCTCTTATGCTGTAGTTTGCTAGCTGGTGGTGCTATTTTTTTTGTTTTTTGAAGATGCTCTGATTTATGGTTTTATCCAATGGCAGAGGGAGAGAGATGTCAGTCTTTGCTGCTGACTGTGACCTTGTCTGTCAGAACCTCTGTTATGAAGCAGGAGTTGGGTGATGAGAAAATGACTCTTCACTGGAGTTCTCACCTTAGCTATCAAACAGAGTCTGGGGCAATGGTGGGAAGTAATGCTGCCCCCCAGCTGCTGTTACCAGCCTGTATGGATCTTCCAGCACCCAGAACCTGGGGCTTGGGGTCTGCTGATTTTTACTGTCGGGTGAGTCTACCACACATAGGTCTTTTGCCACAAGACTGCTGCTCCAACAACAAAGAGCTGTGGAAAGCAGGATTGCTTTCTTCAACAATAGCCTCTCCCCAGGTCTTTCCTGTCTTGGAGGTGGAGGAATAAACACTGTCTGACTGAGTTTATCCTTTCATTATAGGCCCTCCATGGAAATTGGGATCTTTCAGTATTCACCTGCTGCCAAACCACCCAGAGGGGTTCTCCCTCTCTGGGGACTGGTGTGTGTGAGTGCATGCTGCATGCTCAGTTGCTTTTTGTGACCCTACAGACTGTAGCCCGCCAGGTTCCTTTAGTCCATGGGATTCCCCAGGCAAGAACACTGGAGTGGGTTGCACTTCCTCCTCCAGAGGATCTTCCCTACCCAGGGATCAAACTCGAGTCTCCTGTGGCTCTTGCATTGGCAGGTGGGTTCCTTACCACCGAGCCACCTGGTAAGCCCCTCCAGACTGGGGGACATGGGAATTACCACTGGTTTGCCAAGCCCCTGAAACAGTTGTTCTGCAAGGCAGAGCTGTTGCCTGGAGGATGAGTGTAGTTCCTGATTCCAATGCCAAGGCCTCTCAGAGTTCTTACCGAATTGCTGTCGGTTTTATTAAATAAATACTTCTCAATGGATTGCCTGCTCTTTGGTCAATCTCCAAAGATTTTAAATGATTGTCTTTGCTAATTTTGACTTGCACGGTAGATGTTTCTTTGTGAGATTTTTTTCCCTGCTGTCCTGTCAACTCCATCACCTGTTTTGACACTTTTAATTTAATTTTATGATTTCCCTAGACTCTAAATAGCCTCACTGATTTTTAGACAGGCTTTTTGTTGGCTGTCTCTCTTTCCTACAGATATAGCTGATTCATAGCATTTGGTTCCTGTCAAGCCCCTTTTTAGCTATTGTAATGACTGCACTGGCCCAGACCATGTCTATATTTCTTAATATACTCTACTGATTGACTTCTTTGTATAAAAGTCTTCGTATTTCACTTGTTTCTTCTTTGGTCTATTCTACCAAATATAAACTTATATCATCCTCCAATATTCCCCCACATATATTAGTCAATCTTTCAAAATATTTTATCTTTTGGATGATTTTTACTTCAGTATTCTTTTAGAAAAGAAGTTACCTGCTTAACACAACAATGCTAAAGATTTTAATAACTTCTCACTACCAACTTTCCTGTTATATTGTAATATTCTGATTAGCGATTTAGGTTTATGTTTTCACAAGAATTTACCATTATTATCCTTAAATGGTGTAAACTCATTAATTTAATGCAGGTTGAATGTTTTCTTTGACTAAGTCAGGCATTCAACTGATGTCTTTTGTTTTACTTTTCATATTTCAAAACTTCAAAATGAAAGATGATAATTATCTATATTGGAAGATTATCATAAGAGCGAAGATTACTGTAAGATTTCACTTACTTGGTTGAACAGCCCTCAAACATTCCAGTTTGGATAAAATATGGGCAAATAATGGTGGTTTTAATATTAGTTTTTTGTAATAGTCTTAATTCAAAGTGGAGAGACTCCGCAAAGCCATAAGCTGCAAACTTGCTGGCACAGTAATCTGCAACAGAGTGAGGAGCTGTTAGCAGCAGACTTTGACAAGTTAATTCATGGAATTATTTTGAAAATGAAAACTCCCTTCCCTTTCTTTGGCTTATTCTGGGGGCAAAGTGAAAGTGTTAGTCACTCAGTTGTGTCCTAATCTTTGCCACCCTATGAACTGTAGTCTGCCAGGCTGCTCTGTCCATGGGATTCTCCATGCAAGAATACTGGAGTGGGTTGCCATGCCCTCCTCCAGGGGATCTTTCTGACCCAGATATCAAACATGAGTCTCCTACAATGGCAGGCGGATTCTTTACCATCTAAGCTACGAGGGAAAGCATCACTGTTACAGTCATTTTTTGGTGGCCACTCCAGTCCTATAGCTCTATACAGCATACCAATAACAAAATGAAAATGATTTCAATTTCTCTTAACCTAAGAAGACTACAAAGCCAATTGGTTCTTTTTTTCTCTTTGTGTTATTTTTTATTAAGAAGAGAGTGATTTTATTATTTTAAAATATATGTATTTGGCTGCCCCAGGTCCCAGTTACATCATGCAGGATCTTTTCTTGTGGACTCTCTAGTTGTAGTGCGTGGGCTTAGCTGCTCCGTGGCATGTGGGATCTTAGTTCCCTGACCAGGGATCCAACCCACATCCCCTGAATTGCAAGGAAGATTCTTAACCACTGCAGCACCAGGGAAGTCCCACAGTTAGTTTTTATAGAGGAGGGGAGCAGCAACATGAATGGACCTACAGATGGTCATACTAAGTGAAGTAAGCCAGACAGAGAAAGACCAGTACCATACGATATCACTTATGTGTGGGATTCAAATTTGGGAAATGGGAAGGAATCCTGGCGTTAAAAACAGAGCCAAATGTACTAGAGACTTCCCCTTAGTGCAGAAGAGTTCTCCATGCCTTGGAAGAGTCCTCACTTCTGGGTGCTGCGAGCTGGAGATACAAAGTCATGGGTGGAGCACTCACCTGACAGACCATTGATCCCGGTCATTCCTGCTATACTTGAAATGCAGACTAAGTGACCATGGTTAGCTTCAAGCATGGCAGGAAGGAAGGCCTTACAAGTCTGGAAGATATAAACACACTGTGTCAATATTTATTTCTCATTTATTATTCTTTCTGCTCAAGGATGTGATCAACTTACAGGCTCACTTAATAAATATTTATTTAACACCTGGTGTTTGCATGTCTGACTCTTTGCAGCCCTATGGACTGCAGCCTGCCAGGCTCCTCTGTCCATGGGATTTCCCAGGCAGGAGCAGTGGAATGGGTTGCCATTTCCTTTCTCCAGGGGATCTTCCTGACCCAGGGATCCAACTGGCATCTCTTATGTTGCTGCCATTTTTCTGTTTCCAGTTGAAAATAATGTTTTCCTCACAGGGGAAAGGGTGACTGGATATTTCAAGGGTCTGTTTGTGTTTCTAGCCCTGTGTGTCAGTGGAGGGCTTTTTAAAGACATTCTAGAAGATAAATTTATATTATAAAGACATTATTTGTTCTGGATGTACAGATTCCCACCATTAAAGAGAAGAGAAAGGAATGCAAGTATGTGTTGAGGAAGCATTTAGTCATCAAAAACACATCAATGAAACTTTGGGAATATCATTTTAACCAGAGACATACATACAAATCCAGGTTTACATGTATGTACAATCAAGGTAACTCTGTGAAATAGTGACATGTGTTTGATAAATAGGTATATCTATTTTCCCTGATTTGATCACATGTGGGATGTAATACAAACAAGTGTCAGATGTGCTTGTCTTTATTTTATTGTATTTGTTGTAAGATTCCATTTTTCTTATGCAAAAGTGTGATGACTGAACTTCCTAAATGTTTTCCCCCTGGTTATAGATTAGATCAGTTATCACTATTTCCATAAAATAGCTCAGGTTATGAAGACGGCAAATATGTGTTCAGTTGAATTGCAACAAATGATGACTCTATTGTTAAAAAAAAAAAAAAAGAACTAGTATTTTTGAACTTTGGACAGGTTTGCCAATTACTTGGACTTTGTTTCTCCACCTGCATTGCCTTTTGCAATTTTTAAAAATTACCTTTTGGACAACCTTTTAATATCAACAGTAACTGTGTTACTCTGTAATGTGAACTTAAAAGACTTCAAGACTTTAGAAGACTATTCAGTTGGGTCAATTTACAGGAAATATTTGGCTCCCCATAAAATTTTAAAAGAAGGTCAAAGTCATATAGCAAAAGCATGGAGGCACCTAGCAGACTGTGGTGTGGATCAGGAATGTTGCCTGCCACCCTTGGACATCAAGGAGATCAAGCCAGTCAATCCAAAAGGAAATTGAACCTAAATATTCATTGGAAGGATTGATGTTGCAGCTGAAGCTCCAATACTTTGACCACCTGATGCAAAGAATGGACTTATTGGAAAAGACCTTGTTGCTGGGAAAGACTGAAGGCAGGAGGAGGAGGTGGTGACAGAGGATGAGATGGTTGGATGGCGTCACCAACTCAGTGGACATGAGTTTGAGCAAGCTGCAGGAGATGGTGAGGTACAGGGAAGCCTGGCATGCTGCAGTCCATGGGGTCACAGAGAGTTGGACATGACACAGCAACTGAACAACAATACCAGCAAACAAAGGATGTTTTGGCCATCAAGCCCATAGCCACCTCTGCCTCCAACTTTGGATAGTCCAAGAGTTCTGCTTAGTCTATCAATGGGAACTCACAAATGGTCTATCAACAGATAAATGGTTGACTAGTTGTTTATAGAATTTGGACGTCCCTTGTGGCTCAGCTGGTAAAGAATCTGCTGGCAATGCGGGAGATGTGGGTTTGATCCCTGGGTTGGGAAGATCCCCTGGAGAAGGGAAAGCTATACCCACTCCAGTATTCTGGCCTGGAAAATTCCATGGACTACAGTCCATGGGGTCGAAAAGAGTTGGACACGACTGAGTGACTTTCACTTATAGAACTACATGAAATTCTCATATTCACCAACAAAACAAAATGAAAAAGAAAGAAGACTTACCCAGAAGTGAGACATGGCGTTGGTAAGAAATGATCTTTCCACCATGTGGTCTGGAGTTTTGAGGAACTCTCTTCCTGTCACGACCCCTGCATTGTTAATGAGGATAGTCACGTTGCCCACTTCCTTCTTAACCTGTGCAGAAGTGAGGCAAATAATTCATTTATGTTAGGTTACTTATTTTTCCATGCCATTATTATTATTTTTACTTTATTCAGGTAGTTTCTTTAAGCTTAGTTAGTTTATCTCTCTCATAGAAATTCAGCAAGCTTAAAGTAGCTCTATGATTGATTGCGTAAAAAAAACACATTGATTTGCCAGTTTTGCTTTGTGTGTGCAGAGATGACTGGGTGTTGCAGTGTATTTTCTCTGCCTCCTATTTTTGTCATGTTACTCTCCCTTTTTGCCAGAGGTGAATGCCAGGGGTACAGCAGAGTGCTGTCTCTGTTTCCCTGTGTGACTCTCAATGTCTCCCTTTGGATGGTGGTTGGATCTCTCTTCAACCTGGTGTGTGTGGCAGTTACTTCTGTAGGTGCCATCTTCCTGACTCCTCTGTGACCAGGTGCAGGAGCTCATCCCACCCCTGTGGGATCACAGGTGTCTGTGGGCCTGTGACCTCTGTCAAAAAGACCTCCCCAGGTCTAATTATTGTCTGTGCCCAGTCATTTCCCTGAGTTTCCAGCTGTGCTAGCCCTGCTGTGTCCCGAGGGTCTTCCTTCACCGGTCCTTCTGAATTGCTTACCTCATCTGCTTACGGAACCTACTGCCACCAGCCCTACTCGGAGGAAGCTGGTCTCCAGGAAACACTGCAGTGACCTTGATAAAGCTGGCCTGGGGCAAAACATGACATAAAGCATGATGCATGTTCAAACGACGATTTGAAGATGTGTTTGCCCTCAACTGTATCTTTGGTGCTATCACGACAATCTGTTCTTTTTTCCGAATAGGAAGCACTACTGCCTTGACTTGGTTGTCCTGGCCCCACCTACTGCTCTGTGTTGAGGCTTCCAGATCACATGGTGGGGAGATATTAGGAAAAAACTGCTCCTGATGTCATCAAGTTGAACAGGCTCTGAAAGGAAGGGTTATTGCTGCTGCACCAATGTTGGGCAGAGTGATTGGGCCCCTCTGCTTTGGAGAGGGGCAGTACACGGGCAAACACCCAAGAGATGTGAGCTTTTGGCTTGACGAGGGAGCCAGTGTGAGCAAGTGCTTGATCTTAGACCAACTTGGGGAGGAACTTGGGCCTCTGGAGGATGGGAAATCTTTGGTGTAAGGCATTCTTAAATATTTAAGAAAAACCTAATGGTCACCATCATCCTGTCCAAGAAGATTCCCTCAGTCTTAGGGACCCAGGGCTAAGAGGAACTTTATCTAGGTAATAGGATTTAATTTTCACTGAGAGTTTAGGGAAGCATTCTGATCCCAGTTTATAGATGAGGAAACAGAGGTTCTCAGAAGTTAAGATTTTGCCAAAGGATAGCTTTTGGCTTTCGAGAAGAATCACAGTGATTCTCACTCAGTTTGGACACACATACAAGAAAATAAAAGTTCTTTTTACCTAGATTTACTTCTCTGTGGCCAAGATGATTACTTCTGTAAGAAACAAATCTCACGTATGTGAACATGCACATACACGTACTAATAAATATAAATACTCGATTGGACCTGGACATTTGGGAATAAAGCATGAGGCTGGTTATTCTAACAAAAACAATTCGTTTGTATACTGGGTTTCTGTGGTGGAGATGAGAAAGTTACCTCAGTCAGATTTTGGGAAATTAATTACTGAGCCCTTTATTTTAAAAAATTTAATATTATCATTGTTTTTTGGCTATGCCCCATGGCATATGGGATCTTGGCTCCCTGACCAGGGATCAAACCCAAGCCCCCTACAGTGGAAGCCTGGAGTCTTAACCACTGACCTCTAGGGAACTCCCATTACTGAGCCCTTTAGAATGCTGTTATTGAAGTTTCCTATGAATTTTAGGGGTCTGGATAATGTCCATGGCTTGTTGATATTCTGGTAGATTAAGTCTAACAGTAGTATTAATATTTGGGTTTCTTGGGAGTTGATAAGTAACTGAAATTATACAGAAGAGTTGATATTAATAAAATGGTTGGCTTAGAAGAATTCTATTTACAGGACTGTGAGAAAAGAAAAGTCTAAGATACATTCAAATGGTGAAAAGACAATTTTTGATTAAAGTTTTTGGGCTCATTTTCTACTAGACAGCAAGGAAATTTTAAACAAGAGGGAAAGATTCATTGTGGGTGATGGAAATTACAGTGCTTTTGATAGAAGGAAGAGGACTGTTGAGGGTGTCTTTACTGCTGACACATTGGTGGGTCACTGCTAGGGATGTGGCAGGGGTCTTGATTCCAGAAGGTTGGAACCCCAGTTCTACTCTGTTACTAATTTTCTCTATGCCTTGGCTTCCTGTCATCAGTAGAGTGGACAATGTTATCATGCCCACGTTACTCTAAAGATTATATATGAACCCAGAGCCTGTTATACAGAGTGAAGTAAGTCAGAAAGAGAAAGACAAATACTGTATATTAACGCATATATATGGAATTTAAAAAGATGGTACTGGTGATCCTACATGCAGGGCAGCAAAGGAGACACAGATGTAAAGAACAGACTTTTGGACTCAGCAGAAGGTGAGGGTGGGGTGCTTTCAGAGAATAGCACTGAAACATATACATTACCATATAGAAAATAGATGACCAGTGCGAGTTGGATGGATGAAGTGGGGCACCCAAAGCTGGTTCTCTGGGACAACCCAGAGGGATGGGGTGGGGAGAGAATGGGGAGGGAGGTTTAGGATGAAGGGGACACATGTACAGCTGTGGCTGATTCATGCTGATGTATGGCAAAAATTATCACAATATTGTAAAGTGATTATCCTCCAATCAAAATAAATTAATTGAAAAACAAAAGATTATATATGATGGCGCTGCAAATTTCAGAGTCCTGATCTGTGACTTAGAGGTGGTCCTGGGACCGCCACTCCCCCACAAGCTCCTTCCCTGAGTAGCCCCTTCCACCTTGCTCTGGCAACATAAGACCTGATTGTGATTCCACTTGTTCTTCTACAATACCCCTGGGATCTATATATAATCACTAGGTTATATCCTCATTAGTTGGTGATGGATTATAAAGAACAGATCCTATGGGATCCCAACAAAGAAGGAGGCAATAGTAATTGAAGCTGAAGCACTTCCCTGGTGGTCCAGTGGTGAAGAATCCTTGCCTGCCAACGTAGGGGACACAGGTTTGATCCCTGGTCTGGGAAGATCCCATATGCCTGGAAGGAACTAAGCCCATCCGTCACAACTACTGAGCCTGCACCCTAGAGCCCATGTTCTGCTTTAAGAGAAGTCACCACCATGAGAAGTCCATACATTGCAATGAGAGAGCAGTCCTCACTTGCTGCTCCTGGAGAAAACCTACACACAGCAACAAAGACCCAGTGCAGCCAAAAATAAACAAATCAATGAACAATTGAAAAAGGACTTTGAAGCAGAAAAGCGAAGAGGAGGGTTCAGAAGATAAGTGTCTATTAGATTGCCAGAGGGACGGACAGCCCTTCAGAGATTCTGTCATCACACTGAGTTGCATGGACAATTTCAGGTCACAGCCCTTCAGAGATTCTGTCATCACACTGAGTTGCATGGACAATTTCAGGTCACATAGCAGAGGATGAGAACGACTTTGACCACCCCACTCCTGTCCTGGGCATGTTTGGTTCTGCCCATGACCGGTTTCAGCATCTTGGGCAACTTGCACACACTTTCTACTGCTTAGTTTCCTCATTTGTAAATGACAAGGATGTTAACCGTATACTCCCAAGAGGGTTGTGTGTGTTGGTTAAAGGAGTTATTATGTGCATAAGGTGCTCAGAACAGTAGCTACTTGTAATATAGTGTTTTGTCTTATTCTATCTTCACTTGGTTTTGAGGCTCTGGCTAGTGGCCAGGGCATTCCCCATCTTGATCAACCCATTAAGTTTACATGCCCAGCACCTTGCCCACTGGGGAAGGCTGTAGGCTACCATGTGTGTGTGCTAAGTTGCTTCAGTCATGTCTGCCTCTTTGCGACCCCATGGACTGTAGCCTGCCAGGCTCCTCTGTCCATGGGATTCTTCAAGCAAGAATGATTACTGCCATGCCCTCCTATGGGGGATCTTCCCAACCCAGGGATTGAACCTGTGTTTCTTACATCTCCTGCATTGGCAGGTAGGTTCTTTATCGTTATCACCACCTAGGAAGCCCATAGGCTACTGTATGTATACTGTCCTAATGGCCCCAGTGTCAGGTATCAGAGGGCTAGGAACAGCCCCTATGCTTCAGATCCTGCCCACATGGTTCCTCTTAATCCATCTAAGCTGGTTGATCCTGCCTTGCCTTTCTGACTTGTGGAAACCACAGTGCAGGCTCTGGTTCATGCCTTTTCTCTACCTGCCTCCTGACCCACCCAATGTTTCCCCTGGAGGCCCTGTGTGGCGTGCCGTGTCCTCCCCAGGGGACTGTGAGTCTCATGGAATTGTGAACCGCTTTCTGCTCTCTCTCTCTCGGTCTGTGTTTATCTTCACTGCACCTCACCCAAGGCATCTGGCTAAAACACCACATGAGGGCTGGACTGTTGTTAGAGGGTATGGTAATTACACAATAAGTACCTATTATAATTAAAGCATTTATCAGTACTTAGTGACTGGCGTGCTGCAGTCCATGGGGTAGCAAAGAGTTGGAGAACAACAACAACAAGTGTGAAGTTAGAATGGATATCCATAAGTTAAATCTAAGGGGAAATGTAGTGTAGAAATAAGCTTCTTCCCCATCCTCCCTACTTTCTACCCTCAGTATTAGGTTACAGTGGGTGTACACTGTAATCATACAATACAGAGACCTAAAACTGTCCTCTTGAAGATCATCTGGTCCAATCTTTTCATTTTACTGATAAAGAAACAAGGACCTAGAGAGGACAGGTAGCTAGACAGGGCTAGTTCTAGTTTCTACTAACTTCTGGTGGCAAATGAGTTATCAGAAAAGCAGCTGGCAACAACTCAAAAGGCTCATCAAATTCACAGTTGCATTGTTTTCTTCTGTTTCCTTTTCTGGAGGTCACAAATTCAGGTTGTTTTTTTTTGGGGGGGTGCTAATATGTGGGATCTCATGACCCCTGCACTAGAAGTGGAGTCCTAACCACTGGACTGCCAGGGAAGTCCCCACAAAGTCAGATTTCTGACATGCAGAATCAAGCAAGAGGCATGGGAAAAGAACTGTATGACAAAATTCCTCCTCTTCTTTTTGCAAAAGCACATATTAGACACAGTCCTTTTCTTGGGCATAGAACTAAGAACACCAGTCAGCTTACCTGGTCAGCAGCTCTGTAGACATCTTGTCTATTACTACAGTCGCACGTATAGGCAAATACTTTCGCAACCTGCTTTTCTTTGATCATTCTACACGTTTCCATGTTGCCTTCTTTGTTAATGTCCCATAGAACTAAAATGGCTCCAAGCCTGGCAAATTTGATAGCCAATAACCTCCCAAGTCCACTTGCAGCTCCTGTTATAAGGACAATCTCTCCAGTAACGTCCTTTTTCTTCTTGGAAATTATCTTGTAAAATAAAGATTCTAAAAAATAATATAGAAATTTCCCCAAAAATATGGAGGTGTCGAGAAACACATTCATATTGATTCACCGAAGAAAGGAACGTCCTAATTAGGAAAAAAGGTAACTGATAAATTCATGACATTATCACAATTGCAACACACATAAAACACAGTCCAAGGGAATTTCCCTTTGAGACATCAGCTCTTCAAAATATATATTTTGGCAACAGCTGCTACCATTGTTGCATGCTTAAATTATATAAGTAATGAGTGTGAAAACATTTTATGTTGACAAGAATCTTTCCAACTTGCAGGGCACTTTCTTACAGGTAATCTAATTTGATCTACAGGTAGATCTCAAGTTACTAGGAGAGCTTGAATATCAACTTGCCCAACATTACATGACTCCTAAACCAAGACTCTGGACTCTCAGCTGGCCATTTTTCTATTATATGAACTCAATTCATGATTTTATATCTAATAGAAATTAATATAGAAGTAGTATTTCTTGCAATACAAATCTTTTTATATTTTCGAGTGCATGTGTGGGTGCCAAGTCTCTTCAGTCGTGTCCAACTCTTTGACCTATAGACTGTAGCCCAGTCTCCCCTCTCCATGGGATTCTCCAAGGAAGAATACTGGAGTGGGCTGCCATGCCCTCTGCAAGGAGATCTTCCTAACCCAGGGATCGAACCCATGTTTCAGTCTTGCTTATTGGCAGTCGGGTTCTTTACCACTGGTGCCACCTGGGAAGGTCTATATTTTCACATAATCCTTATAATATCCCTCTGACAGAGTCAAACCAGGTACAGTTACTACTGGTTTATAGTGAGGGGTCTGAGACAAAAAAGATTGAGTAGACTCATTCAAGGGCTTCCCAGGTGGAGCTAAAGATGAAGAACCTACCTGCCAGTGCAGGAGACCTAAGAGATACAGGTTCAATTCCTGGGTCAGGAAGACCCCCTGAAGGAGGGCATGGCAACCCACTCCAGTATTCTTGCCCGGAGAATCCCCACGGACAGAGGAGCTTGGAGAACTACAGTTCATGAAGTTGCAAAGAGTCAGACATGACTGAAGTGACTCAGCACATATGCACCCAGACTTATCGAATGTCACATAGCCAGCTAATAAAATAGGAAATTTCAAGATTGAGGACAGAGGTCTCCTGAATGAAGTCCAGACCTTTAACATTCAAATAGGCTTTTTCTGGAGCTGATGTGCCCTTTTCCAGACCTACCTTTTAAAAAATGAAATAATGGAGCATTTTTTCTTTTTGATGATGTGTCCTTGACTTTTGATAATCATCTTCTGTTATACTTGAACATTCTTACACAATTATTTCATGTAGAAGTTTAACGTGGTCATCCTTAAAACCCACATTAAAAGAAACACACAGCTCCTACACTGTTGGTGGAAATATAAGTTGGTGCAGTCACTATGGAAAACAGACTGGAAGTTCCTCAGAAAGCTAAACAGAATTATCATGTGATCCAGCAGTCCCACTCCTGGGCATGTTCCCAGACAAAACTATAATTCATAAAGATACATGCACCCCTATATTCATAGCAGCAGTATTCACAATAGCTAATAAATGGAAACAACCTAAATGTCTGCTGACAGATGAATGGATAAAGAAAATGTGGTGCATATATACAATGGGATACTACTCAGCTATAAAAAAGAATGAACTAATGCCAGTTACAGCAACCTGGATGCAACTAGAGATTATCATACTAAGTGAAGTAAGTCGGACAAAGAAAGACAAATACCATATGATATTACTTATGTGTGGAATGTAAAATATGGCACAAATGAACCTATCTATGAAACATAAGCAGACTCACATACATAGAGAACAGACTTGTGGTTGCCAAGGGGCACAAGGGAGGCACAGAGATGGACTGGGAATCTGTGGCTAGAGATGCACGCTATTATATCTAGAATGGATACTACACAACAAGGTCCTACTGTAATAACACAGGAAACTGTATCCGATCTCCTGGGATAAGCCATAAAATAATATTTAGAAAAGAATATATGTAAAACTGAGTCACATTTCTGTACAGCAGACTAGCACAACATAGTAAGTTGTGTTGTACTTCTACACAATAGTAAGTCAACTATACTGCTTTGATAAAAAACAAAACAAAAAACCAGACCAGAGCTTCTTGAAGAAAGAACAAGAAGTAGCATCATCATCATAAAAGCAGCAGCAAGAGATTTGGAATCTTCTGACACACCAGGCAAGTTCTAAGTCTCTGCATGCATTAATTCAATTAGCTCTTCCAAGGGCCACCCTGTTACTGAGAGGCTAAGCCAACTAGTCCATGGTCACAGTTAAAAATGATGAAGATAGAATCTGAACCCACATAGTGACTTTATAGCCAAGCTCCAAGCACTACGAGATATAGTAAAGAAAAAAAAAAAAGAGTCTGGTGGAAAGAATTATCTTTGCATTACATCTACTTCAAATCACTGAGGAATTAATTTTGGAATTTTTCTAGGGCCCAAGTGAGGATGCTAGAGTGGGTGACCCATGCTCCCTTCATCTGTTCTTGCTTCATCAAAGTTCTTGCTGTTAGCCCTGGCCAGTCAGAACTTTCCACTGAGAAAAGATAGAAAAGAGCATTATTGCCAGACACTGTTATAAATATTTGTGTGTGTTTCCAACGGGCCAAAAAAAAAAAAAAAAACAAACAAACAAACAAAAAAACAAACAAACAAAAAATCCCCAGGAAAGTGTCAGGGCCTTTGTTGAATTCAATGAGTATGTACTGAAACTGAGTCTTTTTTTTCTTTAAATTGGAGGGTAATTGCTTTATGATGTTGTGTTGGTTTCTGTCATACACACGTGAATCAACCGTAATTATGCATATGTCCCCTCCCTCTTGAACCTCCCTCCCACCCTCTACCCCATCCCACCCTCTACCCCATCCCACCCCTCTCAGCTCAGTTCAGTTCAGTCGCTCAGTCGTGTCCAACTCTTTGCAACCCCATGAGTCGCAGCACGCCAGGCCTCCCTATCCATCAACAACTCCCAGAGTTTACTCAGACTCATGTCCATTGAGTCGGTGATGCCATCCAGCCATCTCATCCTCTGTTGTCCCCTTCTCCTCCTGCCCCCAATCCCTCCCAGCATCAGGCTCTTTTCCAGTGGGTCAACTCTTCACATGAGGTGGCCAAAGTATTGGAGTTTCAGCTTCAACATCAGTCCTTCCAATGAACAACCAGGGCTGATCTCCTTTAGGATGGACTGGTTGGATCTTCTTGCAGTCCAAGGGACTCTCAAGAGTCTTCTCCAACACCACAGTTCAAAAGCATCAATTCTTCCATGCTCAGCTTTCTTTACAGTCCAACTCTCACACCCATACATGACCACTGGAAAAACCATAGCCTTGACTAGACAGACCTTTGTTGGCAAAGTAATGTCTCTGCTTTTTAACATGCTATCTAGGTTGGTCATCACTTTCCTTCCAAGGAGTAAGCGTCTTTTAGTTTCATGGCTGCAGGCACCAGCTGCAATGATTTTTCCCACCCCTCTAGGTTGTCACAAAGCACTGGGTTGAGCTCCCTGAATCAAACAGCAAATTCCCACTGGCTATCTATTTTATGTATAGTGACATATATGTTTCAGTGCTACTCTCTCAATTTCTCTCACCCTCTCCTTCCCCCTGCTGTGTCCCCAAGTCTGTTCTCTATGTTTGCGTTTCTATTCCTGCCCTGCAAATAGATTCATCATTTTTCTAGATTCCATACATATGCATTATTCTATATATCTGTTTTCCTCTTTCTGACTCACTTCACTCTGTATCACAGGCTCTAGGCATTGAGTTTTTTTTTTTTATTTTTTCTTTTTTTTCTTTCTTTTTTTTTTTCCATTTATTTTTATTAGTTGGAGGCTAATTACTTTACATCATTGCAGTGGTTTTTGTCATACATTGAAATGAATTAGCCATGGATTTACATGTATTCCCCATCCCGGTCCCCCCTCCCACCTCCCTCTCCACCCGATCCCTCTGGGTCTTCCCAGTGCGCCAGGCCCGAGCACTTGTCTCTTGCACCCAACCTGGGCTGGTGATCTGTTTCACCCTAGATAATATACATGTTTTGATGCTGTTCTCTTGAAACATCCCACCCTCGCCTTCTCCCAGAGTCCACAAGTCTGTTCTATACATCGGAGTCTCTTTTTCTGTTTTGCATATAGGGTTATCATTACCATCTTTCTAAATTCCATATATATGTGTTAGTATACTGTAATGGTCTTTATCTTTCTGGCTTACTTCGCTCTGTATAATGGGCTCCAGTTTCATCCATCTCATTAGAACTGATTCAAATGAATTCTTTTTAATGGCTGAGTAATATTCCATGGTGTATATGTACCACAGCTTCCTCATCCATTCGTCTGCTGATGGGCATCTAGGTTGCTTCCATGTCCTGGCTATTATAAACAGTGCTGCGATGAACATTGGGGTGCACGTGTCTCTTTCAGATCTGGTTTCCTCGGTGTGTATGCCCAGAAGTGGGATTGCTGGGTCATATGGCAGTTCTATTTCCAGCTTTTTAAGGAATCTCCACACTTTTTCTGCTGTAGTCCCGAGTGCTAGCTGCCGAAATGGGCAAGTTCATGAAACCCGGGAAGGCGGTGCTGGTTCTGGCCGGTCGCTACTCCGGACGTAAAGCGGTCATCGTGAAGAACATTGATGACAGCACCTCAGACCGACCCTACAGCCACGCTCTGGTGGCTGAAATTGATCGCTATCCCCGCAAAGTGACAGCTGCCATGGGCAAGAAGAAAATCGCCAAGAGGTCAAAGATCAAGTCTTTTGTGAAAGTTTATAATTATAATCACCTCATGCCCACACGGTACTCCGTGGATATCCCCTTGGATAAAACTGTTGTCAACAAGGATGTCTTCAGAGACCCTGCTCTCAAACGCAAGGCCCGACGAGAAGCAAAGGTCAAGTTTGAGGAGAGATACAAGACGGGCAAGAACAAATGGTTCTTCCAGAAGCTGCGGTTTTAGGTCTGTCTCAGTTAATAAAAGTATTGAAAAAAAAAAAAAAAGAAAGAAATCTCCACACTGTTTTCCATAGTGGCTGTACTAATTTGCATTCCCACCAACAGTGTAAGAGGGTTCCCTTTTCTCCACACCCTCTCCAGCATTTATTGCTTGTAGACTTTTGGATAGCAACCATCCTGACTGGCGTATAATGGTACCTCATTGTGGTCTTGATTTGCATTTCTCTGATAATGAGTGATGTTGAGCATCTTTTCATGTGTTTTTTTTAGGCATTGAGTTTTAAAGATGCCAAGTTGTGATCCTTGGACCTGAGAAGCAGGGAGTCCAGTTCTGGGAGATGATGAAGAAACACAGGGTTGCAGAGTGAAATTGCGGCAGACAAAGCTTGGTCCCAGGGTTGGGGACAGGGAATGTGGTTTTCAGTAGAAGATAAGAAAATGGGCAGAAGCATTTGCATTTGAGCTCTGCTCAAGTGCAAATTTGAAGTCTGCCTTTCAGACAGAGCAAGAGAAAAGGCATTCTAGGTCTTTTCTGTTAGCAATTTGGATTTATTAAGAATATTAACTTATATCCCTAAAGTCATCATCCTTGGAAAAATGTAGAGTTCTGCTTACCTTGATGTTCACCAAGAGTTCATGGAGATTTCAAGTGTTCATTCAGGAAAGAGATCAAGCTATGGAAAATTCTTGCCTTGCCAAACTTATATAGACTTTGGCTCAGGTGCAACCCTGACAACATGTAGTATGTCACAATCATTAGAGGCAACCATATCTTATAATCTATTATAAATAAGCACAAATGGAGCAGGGTTGGGGCTCTGCATCACAGAATTCTTGCATGGAGAACAAGATATCAACTCTTCTCATCCTTTTTCTGTGGAGGGAAGTTTATCCTCAAAGTAGATGGTTTATCTTGAAGTTCAAGTAGCTTTCTCTGAAAGCTAATTGTTACACTTGGGGACCATTCTGAGGACAGGAGTTTTGATGTTTTTCCAATCATTCATTGTTTAAATGTTTCTTGAACTAACTAACAGACTGCACTCTGCAGCTGCAGAAAGCTTTCAAATATGCAACAAAGGGAATAAGTACAGGTAAAGTATATTCTTCCTTCTGGATGTAGGAAGTACTGGTGAGAAAAATGATTACTCCCAGGTGGTGCATGGGCAGTCATGGCAACCAGGTAGTTAGAAAAAGAAAATCATGAAGCATTATAATGAGCAAACACTTATCAAGTTTAAACTACATCACATCTTTCCAATACTTTGTTTTATGTAAGTCCCAAAATGGTCCTGTGGGTGAGTATGTGACTCAGGTAGTGACAGCACTCGGGGGCACACAGTGTATGAGTTGAAGTGGGATTTGAGCGCAGGATGTGTGCTCCTTTGACTGCATGCATATAGTTTGTTAAGTAAACTGGACTTGGAATCACAAGGATCTTCTTTCATTTTTCAGACCCTCCTGAGCCCTTGGCATTAGAGTGTTGGCTGAGAGCATGGAAGATGTATTTGTAGAAATAGCTGACTCTCAAAATGTTAAAAATATTGAAGGAGCACATATAACAAAGCATTCTGTAAACTGTGAAAGTGTCGTGCAAATACTGATTTTTATCACTTGCACCCACAACTCTTGGGTGATGACAGTAAGTCTGCAGCTGGGCATCCATAAGAAGGCCCACTGAGGCAGAATGAAAAGATTTTCTGTGCTGTTGAGACTGTGCCTCGACACTGCTGAGGGGGGCGTGGGAGCCAGGTCTGTGCTAAGTTAAGCTAAGTTGCAATCTTGGTGTCAGCTGTTGCTTAATAAGGCACTCTGTCGCAAGGTCAAATACATGCACTCACAGGTGTGCACAGCAGTCCTCCAGGCATCTTTCTTAGGCTCCTTCTTGGCTTTCTCCCACGTCCTTTCATTACCTCTTCCATTATGCCACCCAAAGTAAGCAAAACCAGAAAAGATCAAACAGACCCTGGGGATGACAGACAACCTCCAGCCCCTAATTGGAGTTGGGTGGGGGGTGAAATAAATTATGCCCAGAGAAGCTGGCTCTGAGCAACAGGTATGAACATTTGCTCCCAGGTCATTTCTGCAGAAATACTGCATTCCAGTGGAGTCCTCCTTACACAGGATGAAGCAACAGAGCTCAGGCCAACAGCTACAAGCTGTTCTTTGTTTTTCATGTCTTCCCACACCTTCTGTGGTCTCTATGGCTGTCAGATAATGGAGCCTGTGCTTCACCTGTGTGTACATTACCGACAGTGGGCAACCTACATCCTAAACTTTCAAATCCCACAGTGGGCTGGAGTCAAGGTGTAAGTCCTGTGAAGGCACACATTTAAGGTGACTTGCAGACATAAGCCCTTATGAGGGTGTCCTGAAATTTTACTTCTAGGTCAGTTAGGAAAAACTAGGAAACAGTAGTTGGCTCATCTCGGCATGTTGATGATCAGGATACATCATTTCCCCCAATTTTGTTTGTTTGTTTCTTTTTTTAAAAAATTAATTTGTTTATTTTAATTGGAGGCTAATTGCTTTACAGTGTTGTGATGGTTTTTTCCATACATCTACACAAATCAGTCACGGATGCAAATGTATTCATTTTTGGCTTCACTGGATCTTTGTTGCTGTGCTCAGGCTTTCTCTAGTTGCGGTGAGCAGGGACTACTATTCGTTGTGGTGTCTGGGTTTCTCAATGTAGTGTCTTTCTTGTGGAGCACAGGTTTTAAGGCTTAAGGCCTCAGTAGTTGTGGTGAAGAGGCTTAGTTGACCTGCAGCACCTAGGGTCTTCTCAGACCAGGAATTGAACCCATGTCCCCTGCATTGGCAGGTGGATCCCCAACCTCTGGACTACCAGGGAAGTCTTCCTTCAATTTTTATAATGAACAGTTTTTCAACACACATAAAACTTGAATAGTACATAAGTGTTCCAAGAACTTACATGTAAACAATTTAAACATTTTCCCATATTTACTTTTTATTTCTTTCACTCTGTAAGTGAGCTCTTTCAAGGTACATTGTAGACATTCACTACAAGTATCTTGCACTCATCCCTTGAAGAGGAAGTTATTATGCGAAACCACAGTAAAATGATCACACCTCATGAGATTAATGTTAATTCTAAGCATCATCTAGCACTGATCTATATTTATATTTCCTCACTTGTCCCAGTGTCTAGTTGCTCAGTCATATCTGAATCTCTGCAACCCCGTAGCTCACCAAGTTCCTCTTTCCATGGAATTCTCCAGGCAAGAATGCTGGAGTGGGTTGACATTTCCTCCTCCCAGAGATCCAATTAAATGTCACGCATTGTCATGTTTTCTAGAAGGTCCTGTAATCCCCTATTTGTCTGTCTTTTCTCTTGGTGTCATTTAACTTGACTTCCATTTCCTGTTTTTTTTTTTTTTTCCAAATTTTATTTTTTAAAAAAGATTTTTGATGTGGACCATTTCAAAGTCTTTATTGAATTAATTACAATATTGCTTCTGCTTTATGTTTTGGTTTATTTGGCTGTGAGTCATGTGGGATCTGAACTCCCTGACCGGGGATCGAACCCACATCCCCTGTGTTGAAAGCTGAAGTCTTAACCACTAGACTGCCAGGGAAGTCCCTTTGCAGATTTTAAGTTAGATTTCAGTTCAGTTCAGTCACTCAGTCATGGATGACTCTTTGTGACCCTGTGGACTGCAGCAAGCCAGGCTTCCCTGTCCATCACCAACTCCCGGAGCTTACTTAAACTCATGTCAGAGATGCCATCCAGTTAGATTTAGAGCCTTGATTATATACAGTTTAAATATTTTTGGTAAGGAAATATCATACCTACTGTTGATCACATCCTACTGCAACTGGCATAATGTCTAGTGTCAGACCGTTTCACCACCAGAGGTGCTAAATTTGGTCCCTTGGAGAGGGTGGACCCACAAGCCTTCTCCACGGAAAAGGCACCTTTCCCCTTTACAATTCCTACTGGTCTAGGTGGGGCACCTGGTCACCCCGGGACTATATTGCTCCCAACAATCTTTCACTTAATGATTTTAAAAATATGTAGATTTTATTTTTTAGAGCAGTTTTTGGGTAATAGAAAAATTGAGAAGAAAACACAGAAAATTTCCATATACTCCTTTCCCTATCACTATCAACACCTGCACTAGGTTATTCGTCGGTTACAATTGATGAGCCTATATTGGCACATCACCATCATCCCAAGTCCATAATTTACCTTAGGGTTCATTCTATTCTTGGGTTTTGACGGATGTATAGTGACATATATCCACTATTACAGTACCATTTGGAGCAGTTTTACTGTCCTAAAAGTCCTCTGTATTCATCCCTCTCTTCTCCAACCCCTGATCTTTTCATTGTATTCATGGTTTTGCCTTTTCCAAAATGTCATATAGTTGGAATCATACAGTCTGTAGTCTTTTCAGATTAACTTCTTTTACTTAGTAGTTTGCATTTGAGTTTTCTCTGTGTGTGTGTGTGTGTGTGGCTTGAGAGCTCATTTCTTTTTTATGATTATTTTATTTAAAGTTTTAAATTTTATGTTGGAGCATAGTTGATTAATGATATTGTGTCAGTTTCAGGTATACAGCAAAGTGATTAAGTTATACATAGACATGTATCTATTCTTTTTCAAATTCTTTTCCCATTTCTTTTTATTGCAGAATAATATTCCATCGTCTGGGTATACCACAGTTTATTTATCCATTTACCCATTGAAGGACACCTGAGTTTCACCTTAGTTGTCAAATATGAGTGATGCTGCTAAAAACATCTATGTGAAAGTTTTTCTGTGGACATAAACTTTCAGCTCCTGTGGGTAAATACCAAGCAGTGTGATTGCTGGATTGTATGGTAAAAGTATGTTCAGTTTTGTGAGAAACTGCAGGACTATACCATTTTGCATCCCCATCAGCAATGAATAAGAATTCCTGTTGCTCCTCATCTTTGTCAGTACTGAGTGTTGTCAGTGTCTGCATCTTAGCCACTCAAGTAGGTGTGGGTGCATTCAGT